ACCCCATAGCCCAGATTTCAGCATCACTGAATGTGTTTGGAATTTCTAGGATTGGGAAGTGCAACCAACTTTTAAGACTGAACTTGTCCTGGAGGTGTGGAAAAATATCCCTGCAGATTTTTTTTTTTTAACTGAAAGCAATTAAACAATTTCTGTCTTTTCCTGATGCTGGAAAATGAATAACTAGCAATTAATGGCTGTTTTGATTAGACATTAACTAAATGAAAGGTGGTCCTTGACCTTTGCACCATACTCTATTTTGACTGACTGACTATGTTTGAGGCACGAGGAAAATCTTCACTGAAATATCACTTTCAAAAAAAGTGCAAGGACATAAACTACTGCAAAGCACTATTAAAGCTTAGCTAAGATGGAATGTCACGTCAGAGATAAGCAGATCTGGGTGCTTTTACTGTTTTGCTCTGACCCCATCATTTGTTCACGGTGTGCCAATGCAACAGAATCCAGACACTCGCGGTGTAAAAGGGCGAAAGGTAGTTTAATGGAGTTAAGCAAAAGCGGAGTCAAAAAACAAGCATGGGTCAAAACCAAACAGCATATACAAAACACAACCATGATCATATATGAACGAAACCAAGGGGCAAGACAAAAGGGCAGGTCGAAAAACAGTCCAGAAGGTCAAAAACACAGCAAAATAACGGGCAACAGTATCCAAAAAAAGGGGTAAGGCTAAAGGCAGAGTCGAGAAAGCAAAACAAAAGGTCAAATACACAGCAGACAAAAGATCAGAAATAACGCTCAGTAAGTTCGTAAAGAAGCAATACCTCACACTGAACTTCACTAAAGCCCGGCCTTATAAACTATGCTGTCCTGATCATATGATCTAAAACACAGCTGCACATAGTTAATACTCAGGAGAACGAGAGCGCTGATAGGAGCGTGAGATATGCTCAGAAGTCATGTGATCCCCCTGAGGATTGTGGGTATTGGAGTCCGTAGCATTCTCCAAGTCAGAGGGAAGTGGCCCAGTCATGTGATCCTCCTGAGAGTTCTGGGTAATGAAGTCCATATCATGCTGTGATACTGGCAAATGCGTGACACACGGTTTTGGCTGTGTTCCAGCTGGCGTCTCATGCATGCAAATTGGATGTGTTCGCTTTTTATTGGTTGGGGTATTATGTATGCTATATAACGGCTCATAAATGCTTGTGTATCCATAGGACGTGTCACCAAATTTTCCTTCAATTACATGGTTTCACTGTTTTTTCAATAACAACTGAAAAAAGCTCTATTTGTGCTACTGTGGTTTTATGGGCAAATTCATGAGTATGTTGTGTAGAAATATTTATTGAATGACATTGTATTAGCTGAGATTGTGCTGAAAATTACTTCAGCTTACAGTGGTGAACTTTCTCAGGAGTGGCCTTCCAATGTTTAACCAAGAGCTCATCGACAACTCATCCAGGAGGTCACAAAAGAACCCAGATGAACGCTTAAAGAGCTGCAGGCCTCATTTGCCTCATTTAAGGTCAGGGATGGGGGGAGTAGCTAAGTAGCGCACTACTTTTTGTAGTTAACTACAGTTTTTTGTAGCTAATAGCTGCAGCTGCTACAGATTTATGAAATGTAGTGAACAGCTGTAGCCCCGTAAAAATTTTTGTGTAGCTATAGAGATAATTTTTGCTACAATTTTGCTACAGGATTCAGGCAATCCACTCAAAATCTGAACCACAGAACGCGGTCGTTAACTGGGCTGGTGGTAATCCTGACTGGGCCACGGACAGTTTGAGCAAACGGTCACACGCTGGTCCCACGCTGGTCCCACGCGCTGATCACCCCTTATTAGTAGGCTTAGCTCAGGGGTCAGCAACCAAAATGTTAAGAAGAGCCATTTTATCCTTTCAACAAAAATGAAACCACCTTGGGAGGCACAACATTTTACATTCGTTCTACCATCATGGCTGTAAATATGTCTCAGTATGTGCTGACAGTATAGGCTAAAAATATAATATAAATGAAAACACAGAATTACTTTGCTCTGCTTTAACCTTTAGATCAGCTGTAGCTGCTTTTCTCGCATCTCAATCAGGAAACTTTTCCACGAAAGTAGATTTTCTTGTAAAATGTCTGTCAACGTTTTTTTTACGAGGCTGAAGTCGCTTCTCATTCACCAGCGTCTTGTTTGAATTGTCCCACCCCACCTTAAATGAATGTACTGCTGTCAAAGTTTATGCTTTGAGCTTTGAAAGACGGCGGTGTGACGGGCGTCCATCTTATGTGTCTCAGAATGCGACGTCTTCCTCTCGGCCTTCTTTAATAAGGACATGTGAAGGATGTTTTCCTGAGTCTGACATCATTTTAAAGCAATTAAAAACACAAGCACTGCTCACTGCTGCTCAACTCACTCTGACTGGACTCAACGTGATGCTCATTGTCATGGTAACGTCTACAATAAGTGGTACTCTAAATTTGGATCAGATTGCTTGTAATATGTATGTTAGTGGAGATTTTCCATCAGATTGTTGAGTTGAGTTCATATAAACACCTCAGTCTTAATCTGTAATTGGAATGTATTCAATTGGATTGGCAAAAATATTTGCATGTAAATACAGTCAGTGTTATACATTTAACCAGTTGCTATGTCTGTAGGCTGGTCTAAAGCAAATATGACTTAACACTAGAAAAGTACATTTATTAAAGAGAATGAAGAGTGATTGCACAGCTTCCAGGATGGTTGTTAGGGTGTTGCTAGGTGGTTACAATGGTATTTTACATGGTTGCTAGTTTGTTGCATAGTAGTTGCTATTGTATTCCGGGTGGATCGTACTGTGTTGCTAAGTTGTTGCCATGGTAATCAAGCTGGTTGTTAGGGTGTTGCTAGGGTGTTGCTAAATGGTTGCTAGGTTCTTTCAGGTCATTGCAATGGTATCCCAGCTGACTGCAAGGGTGTTGCCAGGTGTTAGCTATGATGTTCCAAGTAGTTGCTAGGGTGTTGCTAGGTGGTTGCTAGTATGATGCTAGGTGGTTGCTATAGTATCCAAGCTGGTTGCTAGGGTGTTGCCAAGTGTGTACTATAATGTTCGAAGTAGTTGCTAGTAGTGGTGGAAATCTTTAGGCACCTCACGATTCGATTACAATTCAGAGATGCGATTCTAAAACGATTATCGATGTATCTTTTTTTCTATACAGGATTTCAATTTTCTCAGTGTGTGAGGACTTGATACTTTTAAAGCTAAGTATTTGTAATGATCCATAATGAATTTACTTCCAATATCTTTTATTAATAAAACAAACGGAAGTGATGAGGTAAGTGAACTGGAAGGCTCTCATTCACTGCTCTTGATTGGAGCACATGAGACACTGGCTGCCACTCATCTGTTATAAAATGCGCCGTTACGGTGAGAAAAGATCCAGTGGCAATGGATGTCCACACAGAACAGGTTACAGCCATCCTACCCATTTTCTTTTATGTATTTTTTTGATTTTGTAACTTCTGTTTTGGTCTCGTTGTAGAGAGTGGGGGAGGGGGGAGTCGCTGTGTCAGTAAAATATCTTCGGGACTAGACGCTGTATCTCAGCTCCAAAGTGTGCAACATAGCGTGAAAGCCCTGGTTCTGAGAACTGGCATGCAGACTTCGGGTCACATAGCAACGCAGTCTTGCCGAGCTAGTAGCTAACGAAAAGGCAAAGAGAGAGATTTAAGACGAACATTTGGAGACGAATGAACTTATTCACATTTATAAGCAGCGCAGTTGGTTTCCTGGAACGTTAAACCTCCCACGAGAGACTGTCAAACAGTAAAAAGTTGCGAAGATGAGGTCAGCTTCTCTTTCAAATTTTCCCGTTCCACCTTAAATGGTGCTGCATTTACATTCTGGCGCCAGAATTTAAGGTGGAACAGGAAAATTCGAACAAGAAGCTGGCGAATGAGAAGTGACTTCAGCCTCGTAAAACAGTCGAGCGTTTAGAGACATTTTACAAGAAACTCTTCTACTTTTGAGGAAAAGTTTTCTGGTGGAGATGGGAGGAAAGCGGCTGTAACTAAAGCTTAAAGCAGAGCAAAGTAGCTGAGCCTGCATTTTCGTTTATATTTTTTAGCCTATACTAGGACACTGAGACATACTGGACATTAAATATTATGGCTCCCAAGGTTGTTTGATTTTTGTTGAAAGGGCAAAATGGCTCTTCTTAACATTTGGGTTGTCGACTCCTGACCTAATCTAGCTTTTAATGCAGAGGGTGCCGGTCGGATTTCTCACTCATCCAGTTGTGTTATGTGCACGTCACAAAGTGTCCGGGCGCTGCACTTCCACACTTGCAAGTTCCGCCTTTTGCATTTTGTCAACATTAAGTTAAAAATTTAAATTTAGAAAATCAATTTTTGACATTTGTGAATCGATTCAGAATCATCCACATCTGCATCGCGATGCATCTAAGAATCAATTTTTACCCACCCCTAGTTGCTAGGGTGTTGATAGGTGGTTGCTTGCATGTTGCTAGGTGGATGCTATGGTGTAGTTAGGTGCTTGTTATGTGGTTGCCATAGCATCCCATATGATTAATAAGGTGCTGCTAGTGTACTTGAATCATTGTGATATATGTGGGATGCCCACTATTCATTCTTATGGGGAAAAAAATGACATTTAACGATCATTATAATATGATAATGAAAGAAGTGGTGCTTTATTACTATTGACTGTGCGAGGAGCCATAATGATTTGGCAGCCATAATGATCTAGTCGAACGCAGCATTAGAACACAATTACTTCAGAAATGCCGTTCTGTAATAGCTACTGACCTAAATTCAATCCTAACTGAAGTTGTCATGGTGACTAAACAGATTACATTTCTGTAATATGGCTCCTGATCTTCTTCCTTTATTATGAAAACCACAGGGGGGGAGTACATGGCACAAACATTGGCTTTAAGTCTTCATCAGTCTGCAAACAGACACAGCAAACACTTGGAATATTCTAAATGGAAATAGATTCATTATAAACACTGAGAATCAAATGTAATCTGTGCTTTTCTTTGTCTAGATCTTCTTCCTGCAGAGAACGGGGAGGAGGTGACCAAGCATTTCCTGCAGGAGCTGCTCAACATTCTGCTGGCGTACATCAGCAAGTCCTCGAACCGCAGCTCCAAAGTGCTGGACTTCCACCATCCCCACCAGCTGAAGGAAGGTCTAGAGGGCTTCAGCCTGGAGCTCCCGGACCAGCCCGACAACCTGGAGCAGCTGCTAGTAGACTGTCGGGACACCCTGAAATATGGAGTCAAGACTGGTTAGCATTAACATGCAGCATAATAATAATAATAATAATAATAATAGTTAAAAGGGGAATATCACTGACCACAATCTCTGCAGATGTAAACAAACTCTTCATTCTAGAGAGACTAATCAACTGTGATTACATTACAGTGGTGATGACAGGAACCAGAGGTTGTGATGTTCACAGCACAAACATATCCATTTTATTTACAATCCCAAATGACCAGAGAAACTGCACATGTCTTCTGAGTTCTATATTGTAATGTTAATAATGGTAAAATTATAGTAAATAAAAATAAGTAAAGAAAAAATAAATTTCCTTTAGGGACTATTTTGCCTTGTAACACCCTGTTTGTATCTCTCCACCCCACATTTTGTTTTTAAAGTATGTTTTAGGCCGAAACCTTTCCTCTTAAAACAATGTGTCTGACACTGAGCAATATATATCTAACCACTTCTTGTACTAACATTCTGTGAGATGGCTTTGGACGTCTGGTTCCTATCACCACCACTGTGAACAAGTTTCTCTAGAATGAAGCATTTCACATTAAACCACTCCAAATTACTTTGCTTACGTCTTAATAATTTACTTATGCAGAAATTTCCCTTTAATTACACGACTGCTTCAAAGGCTCATATCACAGAAATCCAGTTTTGCTTGTTTATTTTATTTTAAAAAGGTGGATGTATTGTGTAAACAAACACACCATTCACTTACTAGTCCATACAGTCCAAATATGGAAAATATAGAAAAGATGCAAAATCGTCTTGTTTTGAATTAATCATGGTTGTGATGTCACGTGATGCTCATTCAGTCTATTGCAGTTTAGGCCCACCTATTGACATTGAAGTGATGCAGAGTGATGTTACTGCAGACAGTTTGCAGCAGAGTTATTGCAGTGAAAGATGTGGACAAAAAAGCGGTCAAACGTTGTGCTGTTCTTAGCTGTCAGGATGCATCACTTCAGCCTTCTACACATCTGAAAGGAGCAGCACAGCTTGTTCAATGTTTCAGCCCACCTTGCTTTCTGAGTGAGGCACAATACAAACCAGCCAATCAGAATAGAAGTGATTTACATATGTCAGTCTTCAAGGCACAGTAACAAAAATGCCTGCTTAATTCTTGGGGATAAAGAAAGGTTGGAAATGTAAAAATGAATTACAGAGAAAAAAAATAAAACAAAGTACAAGGAAAATGTACCACTTGTACTCTTTAAAGTTTCCTTTGTTAGACTGAAACTTAGAGGCCTGTCTTGACCTTATTGTTCTTAACCACCAGGTCACCCACGCTTCTTTAACCAGCTGTCAACTGGACTGGACGTCATTGGACTAGCAGGGGAATGGGTCACATCAACTGCGAACACAAACATGTCAGTACATGTTTCAACACAAGGCTTGTTTTACACCATTTGAGCAGGTGGTCTATGTCTTGTCTTTCTGTCTGGTGCTTGAAATAGTTTAGATCAAATCAAAACTGACGTAAAATGAGCTAAAGGTAGTTAAAGGTAGCAATCATCAATGAATATTAGGCAAATGCTAACTACATTCAGCATATATCTGTAGACTACACACTTAAAAATGATGGTTCTTCAAGGGCTCTTTAGTATAGAAAATGGTTCGTTAACACTTTCTATGAATGTCGCATTTGTAAGCATCTATAAACACATTTATAACATGTTATAATGTATTCATAAGGCATTATAAATGTGGTTATAAATATTTATAAAAAAGAATTACACTGAATTACACTTTATAGCCATGTTTATTATACATTATGAATTGTTAATATAATGCATTATAAATAGTTTTAATAATATGTTATACTGTAAGTGCCAAAGAAGTCAGTCCCAGCTTGGAGACTGCAAAGTAAAGACAAATACCAAGCTAACGGTGGTGTACATTACCTTTCCCACATTGGGTAAAACACTGATGGCAGCACTAGTTTAAACTCTGACATTTGAAGCCTGTAATGAGCTTTATTGTGAATGTTTTAGTGTTTCAGTAAATCCTTCAGTAAATACTTCAACTTGAAGCCTCAGTCTTAACACTGGAGGAGGCTTTAGTACAGTACGCTTCACTTTACTTAGAGCGGACAAATACGACTTATGAGCTCTTACAATTTGTTATGATCAGTACTTATAATGTATTATGTTAACAATTCATAATGCATAATAAACATGGCTATAATGTATAATAATAATATATTTATAGCTATGTTTATAATGTCTTATGAATGCATTATAACACGTTATGAATGTGTTTATAGATGCTTACAAAGGTGACATTCATAGAAAGTGCTACCAATGGTTCTATATAGAACCACGACCACTCAAAAGAAACTTTGCATGGTTAAAGGGTTTTTTGCATTGTAAAAGGGTTCTACAGATTGACTGAGAATGTGCTGTAGATGGTTCTAAACAGAACCCTTTTGAAAGGGGTTTTATATAGAACCAAAAAGGGTTCTTCTATTGTAACAAGCATGACATCGTAATAATAGGGGAAAAAAACACTTTTTGGTGCTATATAGACCATTTTCTTTACTAAAGATCCATTGAAGAACCATAATCTTTTAAATGTGTACATAAACATGCTTTTTTTTAACAAATAAATGTATGTGCTGGCAGGTTCACCTATGAGATTGCACCAGTATTCATCCTCATGGAAGACGTCATCCTCAAGAAAATGCACTCCATTATTGGCTGGTCTGAAAAGGAGGGAGATGGCATCTTCTGCCCAGGTAATATACTCAAAGATTCAAGCGATGGTTATGATAAAAATCAAATTCACACATTTTTCTCCTCACTGTGAAAGTCTTTAGTTTTGTGCCTGGGCTGTGAGGCTAATGTAGTAATATACTATAACCACCAGACAAACCTAACTGCATGCCTAAACCTTTGCTTATTGGGTTTCTGATACTGAATGACATACTGATCTATAAAAATGATCAAAACAAGACAAACCTGACTTTAAGATGACTGCTACCACTGTTTTAGCTATGTGCTGTGCTTTTGTTCATCTTTTGTTTTTATAGATTAGTGGTGAACCATGAATATTAGAGCTACACCTTTAATTTGGGCCATAATTGGAACAATTGGTTCAAAATTCGAACAAGAAATTCAGAGGGATGTAGATTTTATAACCGATTTCACAGCTTCACAAATGTCATATCTTCCGATACTGGTGGTGGTCCAGATCCCTTAGCCCTCCACAGACAGCCTTCCTCTTTGAATTTTTTGTGCCATGTCCAAATCTGCTTTCCAGTTGGTGCATTTTTATTGAATTTTCTCGAAAATGCACGCTGCACACTCTCGTTTGACTGTGTTCGAGCATATTCTAGCACACAAAATGCCTTTTCATTTCTAGTGAACGCCATTCTTCAACCTGAAAACTTAGTTAGTTTTTATACATTTAATTAAAATTTGAGATCATTTGAGGGAAACCCTGTACCAATTTCAGCTATCATCCCTATGGGATTTTAGTAATATGTTAGCACTAAGCTAACAGCAATTCACATTAACATTTTTTGGCTGTTCTAAATTCAACACAGACATTTGAAGCTTGTTAAAGACAGTCCATGTTTTATTTGAAGCTTACAACAGACATTTTAATATTTTACAGAGCAGCTGCTGTTTTCTATATCTAGCATCTGACAAGCTCATTGGTCAGGCTACAATTGGTGTTCACATTCAGGGTATCCAAGACTTGTAGTATTACAATATATTTAAATAAAAAAAGTTAATGTTGCAGAACACCTTTTTCGATAACTTAAGTGAGTATAAAAATCACTCTACCGAACTGGTTAAAAGATGTAGTTCAAAATCCAATTCAGACTTTTTACTGACTTGAACTTCAGACTAAAATTCTTTTGTTTGATCGAGCCTATACCTTAGTTATGTTTACTTTATTAAAACAAATCATTAAACATTCCATTTTGTCACTGCTGAAACTTTTCCGAATGTTTCGGTTATGACTGTTGATAGACAGAATTTTGGTTCATTTTGAACTCAGAAATGTTAGTGAGTACATGACTAGCAAAGACAGCTTTGCACAGTTATACACACATAAAACAGAATAGTTTACATTAAAACACAAAACATTCACTTAAATGCAGAACATGTGTTTCAGTAGTGACAATTATTAATGTTCCAAACTGATTTTCAGACTTTGGGACAGGTTTACTTCAAAACAATGGGATTTTTCCTTCTCCCGTAAAGTTTCCATTTTGGAGATACAAGGTTTTTTTTCCAACAGCAGCGATATACTTTGCTACACTGTGGGAAAGTTTCTATTTCACCCCTTTTCTATTTTACCCATTTTATTTCGTCAGGAGGCACAATGTCTAATCTTTACAGTGTGTTGCTGGCCAGATATCATTTCTTCCCAAGGGTGAAAACTGCAGGGATGCATGCCGTGCCGCCTCTCGCCCTCTTCACCTCTGCACATGTGAGCTCACTCCCTCGCTATCGCTGCCATGCAATTATCTTTACCCTGCTGATGTCCAAATGAGGCATATTGTGTATCTGTGCCTTTTATTCCAATATTATACAACATTAATGTGCTCCCTCTGATGTGAAAGGTGGGGGTCTCTAAGTGGCATTATTAATATTTCCCAGATGAATAACATTTTTGATGTCTGCCCTATTTCCAGAGTCATTATTCTATCAAGAAGTCTGCGGCCGTCCTCGGGATTGGCTCTGAAAATGTTATTTTGGTGAAGTGTGATGAGAGGTAAAAATTAGGACAGTGTTTGTAACATACTGAGCTTTGAGGTTGTCTGCATTGTGTTAATCCTAATGGGTTGCTTTTTTTATTTTGTAAGGGGCAAAATGATTCCAAGAGAACTAGAATCCAGTATCAGAACAGCAGAGTCCAAGGTGGGTCAAATATCCATTAGGCACTAGAATATCAAGTAGAATGATATGTTGATGTGTCAATTGTTATTTTCGAAGTGATTACTTCATAAAAAGCATGCTATTAGATAGGCAAACTAGTTATTTAACTCTGTTAATATAATATTTGTTTGATTCTACACATGATTATCTGTAGTTGTTGACATTTGCATCAGTTTAAGTGGCAAACATGTTATTTCATATCAGCACATCTAGTGTTATCCTAACTACCCTGCTGAAAAAAACAGCACAGGCCGGCATGGAATTCATAAGCTGGTGTGGTGCTGGTTTAGCTAGTCACCCAGCATGATCATGCTAGTTGACCAGCACACCAGCATCCAAAATACAACATATTGCTGCTGTCAGAAGAAAATCTCCATTTTTGTTGTTTTTCAATTTTTGACATAATTTGAAAATGCTTGTTGCTCTTTATATTGTGTTTAAATTTCATGAAGAACGGACCAAAAGAAACGGCCCATTTTGGAGATACGAGGTTTTCTTCCGGCAGCAGCAATATGCTGGTTTTGCTTGTGACCAGCGATGCTAGTCTATGCTGTTTTTATAGCAAATTAATAAGCAAGATAGCTAGTAGGAAATAGCTCAAGAGGGAAAATGAAACTTTTCTTGATTCTGTATAAAAGTAGACATTTTGTGAGTGGGTGTGCCCAGAATAGTGTGGTATATTGTTATATGCGAGGTGACTAATGAGCCAAATAAGATGCTTTAGAGTGCCATAAAATGATCAAAATAATAATTACATTATTAATTGTGATTATGATGATTGAAAAAGAACAAGAACAGGAACCATTTCTGTTTGGGTTTGTTCTTGTTTTTGAATGTGCAGTGGAAAAAACGTCAGGTTGACTTTACTTTGCCCCAGACGCTAACATGGCTTACTTTGTAGTTAAACTGAAGCATTAGCATCATGCTAAATGGCACTTCAGATCAGTGGTTCTCCATACTGCGCTAACGCAACCACTTCAACTCAGGAAGTGCTTACTGATGAGCTGATGAGTTGAATGAGGCCTGTTGGAGCAGGCAAAACATCAGAATGTACAGGGAGGACAAGAATGATCCTCTGATCTGAAGTGCCAGTTAATGTTATGCTAATGGACTCATCCTTTTATTCTATTGTTAGCCATTTGTATTTTGAGCGAAGTATTGCTTTGATCTCTAACTATAAGGTAGTTATTGAGTTTTAATATCTTTTTTGTTCTTTTTTTTCTTTCTTTTTCTGTATTCCTTTCTTTTGACTCCCCCAGTCTCTAATGATTAATATTTTACATATATACATTATGCCTGATCAGTGTGTATATATATATATACATATATACACTGACCAGGCATAACATTATGACCACCTCCTTGTTTCTACGCTCATTGTCCATTTTATCAGCTCCACTTACTATATAGGTGCACTTTGTAGTTCTACAGTTACAGACTGTAGTCCATCTGTTCCTCTGCATACTTTGTTAGCCCCCTTTTACCCTGTTCTTCAGTGGTCAGGACCCCCATGGACCCTCACAGAGCAGGTACTATTTGGGTGGTGGATCATTCTCAGCACTGTAGTAACACTGACGTTGCGGTAGTGTGTTAGTGTGTGTTGCGCTGGTCTGAGTGGATCAGACACAGCAGTGCTGCTGGAGTTTTTAAACACCTCAGTGTCACTGCTGGACTGATAATCGTCCACCAACCAAAAATATCCAGCCAACAGCGTCCTGTGGGCAGCTTCCTGTGACCACTGGTGAAGGACTAGAGGATGACCGGCACAAACTGTGCAGCAGCAGCTATCATCTCTGACTTTACATCTACAAGGTGGACTGACAAGGTAGGAGTGTCTAATAGAGTGGACAGTGAGTGGACACAGTGTTTAAAAACTCCAGCAGCACTGCTGTGTCTGATCCACTCATACCAGCACACCACACACTAACACACCACCACCACATCAGTGTTACTGCAGTGCTGAGAATGATCCACCACCCAAATAGTACCTGCTCTGTGAGGGTCCATGGGGGTCCTGACCACTGAAGAACAGGGTAAAAGGGGGCTAACAAAGTATGCAGAGAAACAGATGGACTACAGTCTGTAACTGTAGAACTATAAAGTGCTCCTATACAGTAAGTGGAGCTGATTAATGGACAATGAGTGTAGAAACAAGGAGGTGGTCATAATGTTATGCCTGATTGGTGTAAATTGTCTCCAGGTTTTTTTATTGTTTCAACTTTTTCAAGGTACACAATTGGACCTTAAAACAATTATTGTACCTTACAGGGTACATTTACATTGTTTGTACCTTGATGGATGAAAAATGTACCTGCACAGAACCTTTTCTGACAGTGTGTAGTAACCACAATAGAGAACATAACCTTGTTTTGTGTCCACAGGGTCTGGTTCCATTCTATGTAAACACCACTGCAGGGACTACTGTGTACGGAGCCTTTGACCCTCTGAATGACATAGCAGACATCTGTGAGAGATTTGGCCTGTGGATGCATGTGGATGTATTTACTCATTCTATATTACTCTCCATCCATACACACTGTGCCAGACTGTATGCATAACAAATGTGAAGACTATGAAGTGTAGATTTCAGGCTGGCTTTCATCTTCTTACAGGCAGCTTGGGGAGGCGGCCTGCTCTTGTCTAAGAGGCACCGGCTGAAACTGCAGGGCATTGATAGGTAAGTGAACTCAGTGGCACCACTAACTAGAGATAGGCTTTTTAAAACATTTTTGCTACTCAAACCTCCACATTTTTAAAGAAGCAGTATTCGAATAGCCAGAAAGACAATGCTTTATGCTGTTTATGCTTTATGCTGTTTATGCTGGCCAGGTTATTCCTTTAAGAGAGAACCTGTGCTAACATTGGCAGTAATCAATAAAGCTTAATAATGAGAAAGAAACTGTTATTAATCAACATAACAAAATGAAAATATTATAGAAAATGACATTGAGGCCTTTATCAGTTAACATCTTAGTGATTCCACTTTTTTTCAGTAAGCAAAACACTAATAACAGTAAAATAGAAACACTTGAAATTTCAAATGCGTTTATTAATGAAATAGCTTTTGTGATTATAGTAAATCTAATCACAATTGCTTATTTGTGAATGTAATTAATATGTAAATTCACATTACTGTAATACTACAATATGTAAATTCATATTAACTTTATTATTGCTGTTATTGGTAGTAGAAGTAGTAATAGTAGCAATAGAAATAGTAATAGAAGTAGTAGTAATAGTACTAGTAGTATTAGTCGCAGTAATAGAAATAGTCATAGAAGTAGTAGTCATGGTAGTAGTTACGGTAGTAATAGTAGTAGTAATAATAACAGTAGTAGTAGTAACAGTAGTAATAGTAGTAGTACTAGTGAAAATAATAGTAGTAATATTTATAGTAATATTCATATTAGTGATAATAAGAGTAATTGTAATAGCAGTAAGAATAGTACTAATAATACTGGTGGTAGCAAAAGTACTAATATTAGCGATAATGTTAAGAGTAAGAGTAATAGTAACAGTAGTAGGAATAGTAATAATGATAGTAGTGATATTAATAGTTATATTCGTAATGGTAATAATGTTAAGAGTAATAGTAATAGTAGTAGTTGTAATAATAATAGTAGCAGTAATAGTAGTTGTACTAATACTAGTAGTAATAGTAATAGTAGTAGCAAAAGTTATAATAGTGGTAATAGTACTAGTAATAATAGTAGTAAAAGTCATAATAACATTAGAAGTAGTATTAACAGTGGTAATAATAGTAGTAATAGTAGTAGTAATAGTAAACGTTGTAGAAATAATAGTAATAGCACTAATAAAAGTAGTAGTAATCGTAGTAGTATGAAACAAAGCAGTAACATTTAACATTTAACTAATAAGTACAAATAATTAGTGCACATTAAAAAAAACAAATCAGATGTGGATGTAAATCTGTCAACTCCAGGAAAGATGTTACCCAATTCTTGCTAACAGTCGTTATATCTGGCATGTAGCCAGCCAGGCAGTGAGTAGTATTTTAGAAGTAATATGCTAGAGGAGACCTTTTGCCCTTTGACTGGTGGAGTTTTTGTCTTAGATGTCCTAATTTCCATTTTCATTTCAAAAGAACAAAAACTTTTTCCCAAAAAACCAAAGGTACTGCTCATTCTACACACCTCATAATGATAACTTTGATATGACTTTGGTGATAACATAAATCCGTAAATCACTATTATCCAATGTCAGACAGGAATGCCAGGAATGCCATCATTCAGACGAGATTTCATAATTAGGCCATAGTCATTAAATTTGGTGCTATCAATTGATCAGTAGGAAAAAAAAGAGGAAAGCGTGGGACGTCTTACCCTGGGAGTCTTTTTCCCTAAGGCTACTCTAAACGTGGTCATGGTAATTGGTATCTACAAGATTTTATTCATTTTTATGCAAAGTTAGTGCTTTTGGAGTGAGGAATTCCATTAATTTCCATTCCACTACAGGGCCTCATCCATCACCTGGAATCCCCACAAGATGATGGGCGTCCCTTTGCAGTGTTCAGCTATTCTAGTGCGAAAGAAGGTCAGTGAAATCACAATAACTCAAAGTGCGTGCAAAGAAAACAACATATATGGATCCAGCTGTGGGTAAAGCTGCAGATAAAGCTGTTGTTTGTGTTGCTGTCAGGGTCTGCTTCAGGAGTGCAACCAACTGTGTGCCGAGTATCTTTTCCAGCCTGATAAACACTATGATGTGTCCTATGACACTGGAGACAAGAGCATCCAGTGTGGGAGGCATGTGGACATCTTCAAGCTGTGGCTCATGTGGAAAGCTAAGGTAGTTTGCTGTTGTTTATTCTAGTAATCCTCTCCTTTCATTGTTAAGTTTTGGTTGGAAACAAAATGGGTTAAATTCTTGAAGCACTCTGTGGAAGATGGTCCAATCAGGACTTTTTTTAACATATTGGAAAAAATAAAATGTGCACCACCATTAGCTTAGCACTAACATACTATTTGAACTCTCATAGGGGTGTTAGTAGAAATTAGCATTAAAGTCCTTACTCTCATAGTCAGGGTTGTCTGGTTGTCAAAAATGTGGAATATCTAGTCACATTAATAATTCTTGTTATTATCTTATACAGTAATGACTTATACAATGTACAGTATATACAATGTTGAAGTAAATGTTATAAGCTACACACCAACAGCTATTTTTAGGTGATTTCTACAATATTTCAAGTATTTTCAGAGCAAGAAGATTAAATGATACACACTGTAATTATCTATATATAACTTTTTTGTCAAGATATCAACCCTAAGATGATTTTGATATATGTTGAATATTTGGATCATAACTTTATTATAACTTCATTGGTGATGCTATAGAGCTTTTTTTTCATTTTAGAATCATGTACAGTTCTGTTCATCATTCTGGATGCATCTAAAATGTCTTTCTTTGTTTACAGCTTCCTACATATTTTTTTAAAGCCGTGAAATTTCTGAAAGAATCATTTTGTACATGCATCTGCAAACAACTTGATATCATTGAAAAAACACTGATTGCAAACTTTTGAGCTTTTGAAAAAAGGCTTGAAAATCAAAAGAGAATGTATTGCAGCCTATTTCATTTTGCGAGGGTTGATGATATCAAGATATTGATGTCAATAGTTGACATAGTTCTTGTCCCACTTTAAAGTCTGGTATAAGTTTTTAAATTCTGTATATAGTCTCAAATTGTTGAAGCACAATGGCAAGTCTAGGCGTACTTCAGAGGCCAAACATCAGAGCCTTCAAGGCCCGCAGAGAAAGCCTAACGATTTCTGGGGGGAAAAATGTTATTGTGGTACTTCTCTGACTTCATTGCTATGTTTTGAAATGAACCAATCAGATATCTTCCCTGTAGTATCTAGGTAGGTATCCATTGGTTAGGACTTCAGGAGCAGAACAGAAGGCCTTATATGGATTAACTGCCAACATACCATTCATGTTTTGATTTCCAATGGGTGACAAACAGTGACAGCTCTATGTCATAGCTCTTTACTATGACTGTAAACTGCAACATATAAGGAAGAGCACATGTTAATGTTTTGTTACAGGCCTCATATAAAACACATGGAATGTCTTTTACAAGGTTCAGATGCCCATGTTTAACCTAGAAAGGACAAGAAACAGTCATGTGCACCACCATCAGCTTAGAGAAGAGTCAGCACATATGGACTTATATGTGGACATATGGATATGTGTTTTGATTCATTCTTCACTGAATGTTTTTTTTATTTTTTTTTAATATCAACATATTTTGCCATTCTGTCAAACAACCAGTTTGGTTCGATTTTGAGTCTTTAAGAGGAGGAAGAAAGAAAAACATAATGAGACTGGAAGGCGCAGCCGACAGTACACTGATGTTTTCAATGCTAATTTACACTTCTCACGCAGAGTTTATTGTCCTCGAGCAGTTTTCTGTGAAAGAGTATAGTTTGATTACTCAGCGCTGATAGCTATGTTTTACATAGGACCCCAGTAGGGTTATATTAATGTGATTTACATATAGAAGCACAGAACTGCTTTGCATTTAAAGTGGCAGAATTACAGTGCATGCGATAATACAGCGACTGCCTAAAACAGACCAAACATGCAATAACTCAAATGCACTTCATTAGAAACATCTGCTCACCACGTTACCAGTTCCACCTACAATTGCATGCAAAGTGTTAGTCAGATTATGTGTCCTGTACAGTTATTTATAAATGATTGACTTAAAAATGAGGACAAAAATAGTAACTGTGTCATGTAAAAAAGTTTGGACACCCTTCCAATTGTTACAAACTATTTACTTAGGCCTTAATTGACTCTTTTGGACTGTTTAGGCAGGTCAGGAATTGTAATTAGGAATTACCAGCTGATGGCAATTCCAGAGCGCAAACATTTCTCTGACTCTTCAAGACTTGTGCTAATATTCCACAATCATGGGCTCCTCTAGGCAGCTGGCTGAGGATCTGAAAATAAAGATCAATGACGCATAGAAAGCAAGAGGAAGCTGTCATAAATATCATTAAAACATATTGTTAAAGGGATTGTGGAAGTCAAGGCAAGATCTGGAAGATCACAAAACCTCTCACATTGAACTGCACATATGCCAGCTAGAAAGGCAAAGCAAAACCCCCATATAACAGCAAAAGACTGCAGAAAGGCTTAGCTGACACAGGAGTGGTGGTGCACCATTCTGCTGTTGTGTGTCGCCTGCACATGATCTACATGGAAGGGTCATTCACTGAAAACCCCACCTGTGAACTCATCACAAACGTCAACATCTGAAGTATACAAAACAACATCTAGACAAGCCAGAGGCATTTTGGAAACAAGTGCTGTGGAGTAATGAAGTAAGAAATGGAACTCTTTGGCCACATTTACAAAGGGTAGGTTTGCAGAAAAAAGGAGCAGCATGTGATGAAAAGAACACCTTGCCCACTGTACAGTATGGCAGTGCAAATGTGACACATTCAGTCAAGAAACTAAAGCTAAAGAAACTGGCATTTATCCAAAACTCACCTCAAAATCTACAATGAACTACCTCAAGAAATGCAAGCTAAAGCTTTTGGAATGGCCCTCACAGTCCCCTGATATGTACATTATTGAAAATCTGTGAATAATAAGCATGATAAGCATGCAAGACAGCACAAGACTATTGCAGCACTGCAAGTGTTCTGAAAGGAATACTGGGGGAAAATTCCTAAAGCAAGACTAGAAGACGTGACATCTGCAAAAGAGGTGCTATTAAGTACTAACTTAGCAGGGTCTCCAAACTTTAGCACATACCACAATGAAGTATTTACTGAATAACAAGCCTTGGTAAGTGTTTCTCTCCAAGGTCCAATGAGGGATAGCTAACAATTGCTATAGAGAGGTGTCCTTATAGTTGTTTCTGACTCACTTTTAAACGAATGCTTTCCAGGGCTCAGAAGGTTTCGAATCACAGGTCAACCACTGCCTGGAAAACGCAGAGTACCTTTACTACAAGCTAAAGAGCAGAAAGGACTTCCAGTTGGTCTTTCAAAGCAAAGTAAGCAACCAGATCTTGCACAGGTACCACACAAACTCATATTGTTGCTGTTCTATCAAAACCTCCAAACTCCTTAAAAAAATACCAGTGTAAACATTTCATGATGATTGGACCAATACAAGTTCTGAACACTTTTGTTGTTGTTGTATTTTTTTACTTTTCCAATAATGTGATCTTGTTAGAGATACAATAATGAGCAAAAGCCGTAGACCATCCTTCATTTATTTAATTTCCAGTCAAAACAGCCATTAAGTACAAGTTATTTATTCTGCAGTTTCAGGAAAAAAGCAGAAACATATACTTAACAGAAATTTACACAGAAGCCTCAACAATATACAATATTCATGGTTTCAGCATTTAGTGTGTCCACCTTTTACCTTTTAACAGCTTCTATTCTTGCTTTTAGTTTTTCAAAGAAATCTGCAGGGATATTTTTCCACACCTTCAAAGTTCAGTCTTAGAAGTTGGTTTCATTTTCTGCTTCTCGCAATCCAAGTTAATACATTCAGTGATGTTGAGGACTGGACTCTGAAGTGGACAGTCCATTGTACTGAGAACACCAGCAGCTTCTTTATTTAAGTCGCTTTTATCTATTTTCCTTTCTCAGTAACAGCTTCTTAACAGCTATGTGTTCTTTTAGACCCATATTCTTGGCTTCACTTTGAAAGTTTTTCTAGTGTTTCTAGAATTTTGGGTTCTCTAGTCACTTTTGTTAGGAGAATTCTTTTGAATTACGGTTTTTGAAAGTCTTGTTTTTTCACTAATTGTCCTTTAACTTCCTCCTTCTTGCACAAGTTGATTATATCTAATCTCCTCAGAAATATACATACATACATACATCATCTAAACCGCTCATCCTTCTGGGTCGCGGTGGGGTGCTGGAGCCTATCCCAGCTGTCATTGGGCGGAAGGCAGGATACACCCTGGACAGGTCGCAAGTCCATCGCAGGGCAGACAGACATACACAGTCACACACACACACACATCACACCTAGGGGCAATTCAGCATGTCCAATCAGCCTGACTGCATGTTTTTGGACTGTGGGAGGAAACCGGAGTACCCGGAGGAAACCCACACAGACACGGGGAGAACATGCAAACTCCACACAGAAATGACCCTGGTCACCCGGCCGGGAATCGAACCCAGGCTCCTCAGAAATATCTTCTTAAAAATCAATAACTTGCACTCAAAGGCCATTTTGACTGGGAACAATATAAAGGGTACGGTACTGTATGAGATTTCATTACAAGAGTGATTATTTATTATATTCATTATAGATATAATTTACTATAGTGGGGTCAATGTCTTCAGACCATTTGTTTACTCTACTTGTGCTGCCATTTCCATACTAACTTCATATCTAATGTCACTTCAGCCAGAACACACTAACGTCTGCTTCTGGTACCTTCCAACCCGTGTGAGGAACATGCCTCCAGGTCCAGAGAGAGACAGAGAGCTTCACATGGTGAGGGCCACTTGACCTACTATCAGAAATGTCCAAAACAAAAACAACCACAACCTGTTTGCTGGCTAACAGCTGCAAAATAATGAAATATAAGCCTTACCCAGTGTCCAAACATCTAGCACCCTGCAGAATTTGGTTTCAACCATGATCTTGTGTTTGATAAAGCTTTTATTTTTAGTGCTAATGCTAATGTCTGCATTTTAGTCATGAAATTACACAGATATAAACAAGATATAAACAATGATATTAAGACACAGTGACTTGCACAACTAAATTAGTATTGTTAGACATTGGTGACTCAAAAATACTGAAAAAATTGGAAAAAATTGAGAGCATTCTGTCTTAAAAGTTGAATTTGATTTGATTTGATTTTTCCTTCAGCTTCATCAGTATAACAACATTCATGATTTTATATTGTTGTTCATGAATGTTCTCTCAGTACAATACCCAGCATGCATTGCACAAATACGTCATACATGCATTGGGAATCCCTGTGGCATCAACAACTCCTGACTGACCTATAGGCTAATAAATACGACCAAGCTAGCACTGGTGTAACTCTTACCTCAGACACAGTTGTAAGAAAAAAGCACTTTTACCTTTATTCAGCACAAAATATACAAATAGACAAGTTTTTCAGCCAAAGAAAAGAAGCCCAACTGAGACAAGGTATCTAGAAAACCATGTAGCTACCTTGCTAATATTAGCTTTTAGCTTGTTGTCCTCCTCATTTTATGAGTCGTTTCTGCAATTTGAGTAATCATGCTCTCCATAATGATGGTCAAAAACTGAATGACTAAAATAATATATTTAGCTTCCTGGCAGTGATGTTAGCTATCTGATCTCCTCCTGCATTCAACAGCTAAAATTCAAAACAGCCCACACCCAAAAATCCACCACAAAGTAGGTGTAGGTTTTCAAACGTTTCTCCCACATTCAAGATACAGCATCAGAAGGAGGTTTTCCTTGTCTTTAACCTGGAAAACCTCACTTCAGAGACCATTGTGGCACCCCTGATGGACGTAAGTAAGAATTTTTACGACAGATGCTGGAATGGTTAAACTTTTCATTTTGTCCCTTTTAACCAATTATGAACTAATACTGCAATGTACATTAACTAAATATGACATTGGCCTACATACTATATGCATTACTGTATACAATATAGTCAATGTATCAGCCAATATATCCAATACATGCTAGCTTATATACTACACTACATATATTTTTTTATATGTTGGTTTATTTTTTGAATATATCACACTACATTTGCTGCTCATACTCTTTGCATAGCTAATCAGGGGTTCCTTAAAGCCAGTATGTTAGATTGAGGCTGGAACTAATCTCCTCTGGAGCATAACTGGGCACCAACAGCTGTTCTTTGATTACTAAAACACATCACCCTCTCTCTAAGGTGGCTCCAAAAATCAAGGCGAAAATGATGGAGGAAGGAGTGACTATGATTGGCTACCAGCCTCTCGGAGACAAAGTGAATTTCTTCCGCTGTGTGTTCTCCAACCCAGCCACGCAGAAAGAAGACGTGGACTTCCTCCTGGATGAAATCGCCCGTCTGGGCCGTGAGCTTTAGAGCTGAATGAATATGGGACTTACTTACTAAACTGCACTTTCTATAGACTTAAATGGGCCACCAGTCTCAGTATATATGGGTTGTTTGAAGACATTTCTGTCGTAGCTCGACGTAGACACTTTCCCTAAGCCTGGAAGCTACACTGTGTTGATTTGTTCTGTGGCAGAATTCCTTCTTAGTCTTTATTGAAAAGGACAGAATTAAAGTGATGTTTCGGCCAAAATTTAAATATACACAGTTTTTCCCCTTTTCTCTCAACGTAGTCAGTCAGCCAGGACATGTTTGGTGTCTGAAATTTGCTTTTTTAGTTTTGCACTGGAGCTACAAGGCTGATGTAGCTATCAAATAATAGAAGCTTATTCACAGAAATCATGCTAAGCGACTGCCTAAATCTTTATACATTCACCTCAAACTGCACTGATTTGTTGAGTAGTCTTTATTAGACTTGCTTACTGTTGTCTATAACATGCACAAAAGTACATCATATAAAAAACAGCACTAGCAGCAAAGTTAAAGCTGAAATGCCACTTAAAAAAAGGCCATATAGTGGAACGGTTCTCATAATTATGACTTAATATCTCATAATTATGAATGAATAACTTATATATATGACTTGATATCTAATAATGATGAGAATATGTCTCTTAATTACGATTTAGTATGTGACAATAATGGCTCAGTGTCACAATGAAAAGGATTCTCATAAATATAATTTAAGATCTCATAATAATGACTTACAATCTCATAATAATGAGAAAAATTATGGGATGCTAAGTCATTATTATGTGATACTTAATCACAAGATAATTAAGTCATAATTATGGGAAAATAAGTTGTAATTATAAGATTGTATAAGTTATTATTATGAGATACTGAGTCATTATCAGGATACTAAGGAGACCCCTTGTTTTTAAGTTTTGAACTTTTGGAACTGAGTTAAGAACATTACTTCATTAACAGGCTACTAGTGCTGCTCTGTAGGCGACCCTTCCAGTCTGCAGTGACAGCAGAGGAGGGTAAAGTTCTGCAACCTCACTGGGAAAAATATGCCTTCAAAGGGGGGCAGTTATTTATTATTAGTTATTATCGCCCACCTGTAATTCTACAGCTGGAGACGGATATTCGCCAGCTTCAAATTTTCCCGTTCCACCTTAAATGGTGCAGCACTTACATTCAGGCATCAGAACTGCTGCATTTAAGGTGGAATGGCAAATTTAGCTAGCTAGCTACCGAGACATCAGCAAACTACTTGCAATGTTCTATGGTTTTTATGAAGAAAAGGAGCATAATACATTGAAGCCACATCAAACTAAGATAAAATAATGGTTATCGTAATTTTTCAACAGAGAAAATTCTCAGGTTTGTGGGTTTCGTTGGTCTCTTGCTCAGCCATCTTGCCAGTTTTCCTTTTTTTTCTCATAACACTATGTTTGGAGTGTGCCTCTAAAAAACCTCTGTTTGGAGGGCTGTGTAACCCCAACACTCCACCCTACCCCTCTATCTCAACAAAAATCAGGAGGACACCCTACCCCTAGGTGTGCACATGCAAAACGGAGGGGTAAGGGCTAAGTGGTAGGGGCAAGGGATGAAATGGGATTGGGCCTAAATCATAATTATGAGAAAGTAAATTGTAATTTTGACTCCTCGACTCCACTTAATTTTAACAAAGACAGCAGCTACCTTTATGGTGCGCAGGCGCCAGAATGTGTCCGTTGGAACATTTAAGGTGGAGCAGAAAATCTGAGTAAGAAGCTTTCAGCTTTGTTTGGCTTTACATACATTTACGTAATGTTCTCTGAAAAACTGCGAGTAGAGCTTGCAGAGACTGAGGAGCAACGCTGGCATTGTTTAAAGCTGGGAATTAAACAAACTCAAACTCTTATTCAAACTCCTTCGACAAACTGGCCCTCGAGCCAGTTATTGCAGAGTTGACGCTCAGAGTCAACCACAACTCCCAGACATGCTAGAGTCAAAGAATCGACTCTTTTGGAATTGACTCCCCATCACTACCTTATATTAGTGATTGATATATATATATATTTATAACTAATATAGCAGTTTCTAGTTCTTCTGCTACTGTTCTTCTCTCACCGCAATTGATGTCAGTTGGAACTGATCAGCATTTTCAGACATGCTACATTACATGGTAGGATGTTAACTGCTTAATTTATACAACAGTTAGTTCCGGCCATGCAAGCTGATGGGTCGAGAAGTGTTCCAACCGTGCTGTTATTTCGCCATAACATCACCTTTTTTTCACAAAAACTGTATCACTGAGACGCCGTTGCTAAGCAACGACTTTGACAGCTGTAGGAGACGCTCAAGCCATTTGAACGTTTTTACTTCTTACTTTGCACAAACAGAAAATGGATACTTTTAAGATCACATTTGACCGACAGCCGATTTGGTCAGACTCTGAAGATGAGACGACACTAAATTCTCAAACTGTCATCACCACTGAGCAGCTTTTCAGTCGGCAGCTGTGACAGAAGAACAGCTGAACAACCTGGAATCAGCCAGAAATGAACCCAACACCATTCGCCAAACTAAATGGGCTGTAAGATGCTTTAAAGACTGGCTGGAACAAAACAATTAATATTGATCTAGAAAAAAATGTACAAAACTGTGCTAAACTTGATATTGCGGCAGTTTTATGGCTCAGTCTGATTTGGTCAGACTCTGAAGATCAGACTACACGTTTGGTGAATGGTATTGGGTTCATTTCTGGCTGATTCCAGGTTGTTTAGCTGTTCTTCTGTCACAGCTGCCGACTGAAAAGCTGCTCAGTGGTGATGACAGTTTGGGAATTTAGTGTAAGGAGCTGGAGAACGAACTGCCGGCTGTGCAGCGAGTGAGCCGAGTTTGTTACTCTGATGTAGCAACAAGCTGCTTGTTAAGGAACTATAATTTGGTGAAGGAACTGCGAACATTAAAACATATTAAACGCTGCGTTCGCGGCCCAGTTTATTAATTTATTACTTTATTTATTTAACTGTTGTATAAAAGCAATAGAACACTCAAGGTCATGTGTTATTGCGAATAAGAGCAAGTGTAGACGCAAAATAAGATCACAGCTGTGATGTTATTTCGCATCTACACTTGTTCAGGTTTCTCCTTTACATTTTTGGACATTCAACATGTCTTGGCCATTGGAACATAGAAAATGGGAACATGGAAAATTGTGCAAATTTCATTTATGGCAAAATTAGTTTTAGTTGATTTTATTTTATATATATCTTATCAGTATATTGTTGAATTAGTTTTGTTCTACTTTATTTATATCTACAAGTAATCCTATGTATTTCAGTGTTTGTGTCAGTCGTATTGTCTGTAACTGCTGTAACTGGGGGAATGCTGTAAATGTTTTCCGAAACCTCTGAATTAAAAAAGAAAATGAATGAATTCATAAATGTATCTATAGGAAGGTTTATGATGCATGATACACACCGAATAAACAACTAAATGAACACCTGTGTACTGCAAACATCTGAAGCCACACTGAATCATCTTGCAGAAAGCACACAGCTGCACCCTCGCCCACCAACTGCTGCTTCAGCAAATGTCTCAGTTATTGTAAGAGGATCTTGATGTTTAAACCGGCAGAAAGGACGCTTTGGTCAGTTTTTGGTCCTGCAGAAACAGGGCTGAACAGAATCCTATCCTGTCCTATCCTATCCTAAATAATATAATACGTCATTTTAATTAATTAATGTATTTATTTTAACTGGGAATTATATAATACTAAGTGTCCAGCATACTATATATAAGCTACATTACATATTACCTATCACTGCTGTCAGAAGAAAACCTCATATCTCCAAAATGGTAATGGAAAAAACTGGTACAGGAAAAGGAAAAAAAACTAATTTACTTTTTCTCTGAAATCACTAAAAAAATAACATTGTCCTCAAATTCACAGAACATCACCTACAAATAGACATAAGATTGTACTTTTTTTCCAATAAACCAAGATGTTTAATGATTGCGTTTTGTAGTGCGTGAGTCTAGAACACTAATCAAAGTGTAATTTATGTGGTAACACTTTCTATGAATGTCACCTTTGTAAGCATCTATAAACGCATTCATAACATGTTATAATGCATGCATAACACATTATAAACATAGCTATAAATATTTATAAAAATGCATTATACATTATAGCCATGTTTATTATGCATTATGAATGTTAACATAATACATTATAAGTACTGATCATAACAAAGTATAAGAGCTCATAAGTCGTATTTGTCCGCTCTAAGTAAAGTGAGGCATACTGTACTAAAGCCTCCTCAAGTGTTAAGAGTGAGGCTTCAAGTTGAAGTATTTACTGAAGGATTTACTGAAACACTAAAACATACACAGTAAAGCACATTACAGGCTTCAAATGTCAGAGTTTAAACTAGGGCTGCCATCAGTGTTTTACCCAATGTGGGAAAGGTAATGTACACCACCGTTAGCTTGGTATTTGTTTTTACTTTACACTCTCCAAGCTGGGACTGACTTCTTTGGCACTGACATTATAACATGTTATCAACATTATTTATAATGCATTATATTAACAATTCATAATGTATAATAAACATGGCTATAAAGTATAATTCAGTGTAATTCTTTTTTATAAATATTTCTAACCATGTTTATAATGCCTTATGAATACATTATAACATGTTATAAATGTGTTTATAGATGCTTACAAAGGTGACATTCATAGAAAGTGTTACCATTTACGTCACTACTGGACATTACTGGACATAACTGGACATTACAATGTGTCTTAAAATTTGTGTATGTAGAAATAAATATTTACTTTTTTCTTTTTGTAATTTCATATGAGAACGTAACAGGTAGATTAGCTGGAGCAGGTGTGGCAGATTGTGTTGGAGCTCTGCTGGAACCTTCAGATCTCCAGGACCAGGGTTGGTGACCACTGTTCTTGAAGGACATACATACAAAAATATTTCTGAAACAAACACAGGATCATTCAGAAACAGTGTTTCATTTGGCCTTGGAGGGGCTGAGCGTTTGCATATATACACATAAATATCTTATTATGTTGTTAGAAATTTACTATATTTACAAGCTGAAAATGCCACAAATTCCCAATAATGTTATAAGGTATTACATTATTCTTATACTTATTATCATATTATTAGTTTAGATATGTATAACATTATTGGGGAAGGTATTTATTGCATGTTTGACCAAGTTAAGTGCAAATTTTAATTAGATTTTCTGGGTGATATTACATTACTGGGAAATTATTACAATACTGGGTTCCACAGAGCATAAGGAGAGTTTTTTTTAGTCTACCACTGCCATCTGCTGATAAAAGTAGGATATGTTTATGGTTATAGATGATGTGTGAAGACATATATATTGTAAAAACTACTAATAATGATCAGAAGTTTCTGTTTTGCCTAGATTGGGACTACATGTCTCATCTGTCCAAACCTAATCAGACACCCCTTCTAATTAGTCAATTCAGTTACGGAATTCTGCCAGTTTCTCCAATTCAAACGTTGATTTGTAAGCAGTCGTTCAGAGAGGTTTAATGTGAAATGTCTCATTTTAGAGATACTTAAAGAGTGTTTAGTTGTTTAAATTGTTGTTTAATGATATTTGTAAGACAAGCTTTGGCCTAAAGCATTTTTTTTAATACACTCATGGTCGAAAAAGTAAATGGAGAACGTTGTGAGCTAAAATAGTCCCCAAAGAAAACTTGCTGTTTCTGATTCACCACACTTTCCCATCATCAACATTTCATATAAAACCTCAGAAGATGTGTACATTCACTGGTCATTTTGGAAAGCAAATAAAATGGCTATATTTGTGTCGGAGACATTGTGACCCCTGGTTTTTATCACCATCACTGTAATCAGAATTGATGTCTCTATACTGCATCATTTCCTCATCAAACCACTCTGATAGACTTTTGCAGAATAATTTCACTGCTGAAACAAATATTTAGTTACACAAACACAGCCTGTACACTCTTCATAGAAAAGCATTGGCAATAGGATGAGACACTCCGGAGCGGTCAGACGTGACAGTGCCCATGAAGCCCCCCCAGCATCGGACTGTGAAGCAGCGGAACTGGGTTCTCTGGAGTGATGGAGCTCCATCCAACACCTTTAGGATGATTTGTAGTGATCCAGAACTGACCATCCAACATCAGTACCCGACCTCATTAATGCTCAATCAAATCCTCACAGCAATGTTCCAACCTCTAGTGTAAAGCCTTTTCAGAAGAGTAGAGGCTGTTACTGCAGCAAAGGAGGACAAACTCACTATTAATAGTCTTGACTTCAGAAGCAGGTGGCTACATACTTTTGGACAATATATTTTACATTACATACTACTTTGGAGCTGCACTGACAGTATATCTCAATATATTTTATTTTAGTGTTGATCATGTAC